GAGGCGTTTCTTCACTCAGACAGCTGCTGGCTGCTGAGGCTGAGAAGCCCCAAGGTTGACAATTAAAAAGGCATAGTCCTGATGTTACCAAACCACATGGCAAGCCATTAACTTAAGTCCATTGTAAGTCCCATGGTTGGCAGAGCATAGCAGGATGCTGAGCAACAACACGGCTACATGCAGGGTGCAAGTGTGCCATAGGCTACAGACCATTCCCAAGCCTTCTTCTTATATACAGGAAGCAGACCACATTCCAAAGGCATTACTCAACTGCTTATGGTAGATCCCACCATGGAGTTGATTGCCAGTCTCATCATGGGGAATAACTACCACCAGCTGCCCAGCCAAGTTGACACAAAAACATAACCATCACGGTATCTCAGGTTGTTAATGATTCTTCCTCCAATCCTAATGCCACATTCTTCTTCATATAGTCCAGCTTCTCGGATTATTTGCTCAGCATACCCAGTGAATAAGTATGGTGAAAGGATACAACTCAGATGCAGTCCCTTCTTGATTTTAAACCATGTAGTATTACCTTTTTTTTTTTTTTTTTCCAAATGACAGCCTCCTGGTCTATGTATAGGTTCCTCATGAGTACAATTAAGTATTCTGGAATTCCTATTCTTCTCAATGTCATCCACAATTTGTTATGATCCACACAATCAAATGCTTTTGCAAAGTCAATGAAACACAAGTAAACATCTTTCTGGTATTCTTTGCTTTGAGCCAAGATCCATCTGACATCAGCAATGATATCCCTCATTCCACATCCTCTTCTGAATCCAGTTTGCATTTCTGAAGTTCTCTGTCGATACACTGCTACAATCATTTTTGAATTATCTTCAGTAAGATTTTACTTGCATGTGGTATTGATGACATTGTTCACTAATGTCCACATTCTGTGGGATCACCTTTCTTTGTAATGGGTACAAATATGGATCTCTTCCAGTTGGTTGGCCAGGTCTTCCAAATCTCTTGGCATAACCGAGTGAGTGCCTCCAGTGGGACATCCATTTGTTGAATCATCTCAATGGGTATTCCATCAATTCCTGGAGCCTTGTTCCTTGCCAGTTCTTTCAGTGCAGCTTTGACTTCTTCCTTCAACACCACTGGTTCTTGAACATATGCCACCTCCTGAAATGGATGAAGATCTACCAGTTCTTTTTGGTACAGTGACTCTGTATTCCTTCCATCTTCTTTTGATGCTTTCTGCATCATTCACTATTTTGCCTATAGAATGTTTCAATATCGCAATTCAAGGCTTAAATTTTTTTCTCAGTCCTTTCAGCTGAGAAATGCCAAGTGTGTTCTTCCCTTTTGGTTTTCTAACTCCAGTTCTTCACACAATTCATTATAGTTATTGGCTTTGTCTGCTCGAGCTGCTCTTTGAAATCTTCTGTTCAGCTCTTTTATCTTGCCATTTCTTCCATTTGCTTTGGCCACTCTCCATTCAAGGGCAAGTTTCAGAGTCTGTTCTGACATCTATTTTTGTCTTTTCTTTCTTTTTCATATTTTTAATGACCTCTTGCTTTCTTCATGGATGATGCTCTTGAAGTCATTCCAAAATTCTTCTGGTTTTTCAGTCACTGGTATTCAATGCATCAAATCTATTCTTTAGATGGTCTCTAAATTCAGGAGGGATGTATTCAAGGTCATATTTTGGCACTTGTGGACTTATTTTAATTGTCTTCAACTTAAAGTTGAACTTGCATATGAGCAGTTGATGGTCTATTCCATAATCAGCTCCTGGCCTGGTTTTGGTTGAAGATACTGAGCTTTTCCATCTCCTCTTGCCACAGATGTAGTGAAGTCTGGTGAAGTCCACATGTACAGCTGTTGTTTGTGTTGTTGAAAAAAGGGATTTGCAATGAATAAGTCATTGGTCTTGCAAAATTCTATCATGCGGTCTCCAGCGTTATTTCTGTCACCAAGGCCAAATTTTCCAACTACCAGTGATTCTTCTTTGTTTCCAACTTTTGCATTCCAATCACCAGTGATAAGCAACACATCTTGATTGCATGTTTGGACAATTTCAGAGTGTAGAAGTTGATAAAAATCTTCTATTTCCTCATCTTTGGCTTTGGTGATTGGTGTGTAAATTTGAATAATAATAGTATTGACAGGTCTTCCTTGTAGACATATGGATATTATCCTATCACTGACAGCATTGTACTTCAGGAAAGATCTTGAAACGTCCTTTGTGATGATGAATGCCATGGCAGTCCTCTTCAATTTGTCATTCTCAGCACAGTAGATCTTATGGTAGTCTGATTCAAAATGTCCCAAGCCTGTCCATTTCAGCTCCTAATGCCTAGGATATCAATCTTTATGCATTCCATTTCCTTTTTGATAACTTCTAATTTTCCTAGATTCATACTTTGTACATTCCATGTTCCGATTATTAATGGATGTTTGCAGCTGTTTCTCCTCAATTTGAGTCATGCTACGTCAGCACATGGAGGTCCTGAAAGACTTAGTTATCCATATCATTAAGGTTGGTTCTACTCTGATAAGGCAGCTCTTTTCCAGTCCTATTTTGAGTACCTTCCAACCTTATGGGTTTGTCTTCCTGCACTGTGTCAGACAATGTTTCCGAGCTCTTCATAAAGTTGCCCAGTAATGTATCAGACAGTGTTTCTCTGCTATTCATAAGGTTTTCCCTGGCCAATTTTTGAAAAGTGGATAGCCTCCTCCTTCTTCCTAGTGTGTCTTAGTCTGTAAGCTGCGTGTGAACCTGTGTACCATGTGCAACTCTGCTGGCATCTGAAACACCAGTGGCACAGCCTCAAGCTTCACAGCAACATACAAGCCCCACAGGATACAAACTGACAGACAAGTTTGTCTCCCCTAACTGTTGGAGACCACTGCACCCTCTCCTTACCTAATTCCTACCTGGAACCTGCCACTTTGTGGTCCCTGGCCTCTCCCTCCCTTTCCTGGCTCTAAGGGGCTTGGGGACTAGCCTTGACTCCTGCCCCTTTTTACCTGGATATCCTGCTGATCCAGAGGTCTCTGGCCTCTCCTGCTCCCTCCATTTCCTGGCTCTAGGGGGCTTGGGGCTTAGCCTTGCCTCCTGCCCCTTTTTTTTACCTGGATATCTTGCCACTCTAGAGGTCCCCGGCCTCTCCTGCTCCCTCCCTTTCCTGGCACTAGGGGGCTTGGGACAACTGAATTAATGTTCCTAATATAATCCAGGGGAGCTCTGGTAGCATAGTGCCTAAGGCACTTGACTGCTAACCAGAAGGCTGGAGGTTCAAACCCACCAGCCACTCCTTGGAAGGAAGGTGGGGAAACCTTTTTCCATAGTGATACTGCCCCAGAAACCCAAGGAGGGGTCGCTATGAGTCGGGGCCAACTCAACGGCAAATAACAACAACAACAACAATATAATCCAGGAGCTCTGGTAGCATATTGCCTAAGGCACTTGCTTGCTAACCTGAAGGCTAGCGGTTCAAACCCACCAGCCACTCTTCGGAAGGAAGGTTGGGCAATCAACTTCTGTAGTCATACCACCTCAGAAACCCAAGGAGGGGTCACTATGAGTTGGGGCCAACTTGACAGCACGTAACAACAACAACAACAACAACAATATAATCCATGCTATGAATTTATGTAGTCAAAGTAATAGAAAAAATATCAGAACCGAATTAACTGATATACACTAAGTAATACACTATTTATCAAACTCTAAAGAAAAGACTTATGAACAAATAGGAAGGACTTTGAAAAAGAAGAGACAATTCAGGGGAATAAACATTGCATCAGCATCTCTGTGTAAAGTACATACTGCTTTTCGTTTGAGAATACAGTCCAGTCTCCAGCGATTTCCTTCAACCACAGGGCGTTTCAGGAAGATTTCTGGACTCAACCTGGAATCATGAAAGCAGGATTTCAAACAACTGAAACAAAATATAGAATTCTGATTGTATCATAGGATGCAAAGGTAATTTCAGCCCAAATAACTCCATGACCATCCTCCACTGTAGTGGGCCATCTAAATTTTGCTAGGAGTTTAACATACCATTTCATACAAAGACAAGAGATTTTACCCATACAAAATGTCAATATCAAGGTCTCTCTCTCTGACACACACACACACACACACACATTTACACACATGTGGGCAGTGCTGATTGCACATCAACTGCCATTCTCAGCTGTCCACTTCCTTGCTGTCATAGCCTGCTTCCGATTATGTTGTTTGTTGTTGTTATATGCCATTGAGTCGGACCCAACTCATAGCGACCCCTCCTTGGGTTTGAACCACCAGCCTTCTGGTTAGCAGTAAAGTGCCTTAGGCACTATGCTACCAGAGCTCCCGCTTCTCATTATCGTGGGTGAATATTCTAGGTACTTATTTTCCCAGACTCCTGTGCAGCTAGAGCTAGTCATGGAAATGAGATTTCTGAGGAGGTACAAGTGAGGGTTACTGGGCAAAGTTTTTCCTCCTTGGTGAGAGAAAAAAAAACACAGAGCAGGGTGTGTCCTGTTGTGTCCTGTCCTCACTTCCAGCTTTGGGTCAGATGTTGTGTGGGGCATGATGCTTGGAGAGCTTCAACTATACTGAAACTCTAAGGGGAAGGCCCAGACCTCTGAAATCACTAAACTACTGCACCAACACTCTCACTCACTGACTGCCGTCAAGTCGATTTCAACTCATAGTGACCCTCCTTGAGTTTTCAAGGTAGTGTCTCTACGGAAGTAGATTGCCCAATCTTCCTTCCGAGGAGTGGCAGGTGGGTTTGAACTGCCAGCCTTCTGGTTAGCAGTCAAATACCTTAGGCATTATGCTATCAGAGCTCCCTAGGATAGTCTAACTCTGGACTTCTTGTTAAGTAAGACAAATAAATCCTCATTGTTTAAGCCACTTTTAGTTGAGTGTTATGTTACTCTGAGCTAAAAGCATTCTAATTGATAAACATACATATTGATTTCCTATACAAAGGAACAGTGTTCATGGGAACAGGGAGTTTTTTTGAGAAAGGAGTAAGAAAGATGTGCTGATACATGAAATGTTGCTAACACAAGAACAGAATCCTGGACCTTTCCTTTATAGCAGTGCCACAGGGCAGCTGGGAGTCCATAAATCCAACCAAACCCACTGCCATTGAGCCATTTCCAACCCATAGTGACCACCATAGGGTTTCCAAGGCTGTGAATCTTCACAGAGTCAGATTTCCTCATCTTCCTCCCAGAGAGCAGCTGGTGGGTTTGAAGTAGCCAACCTTCTGGTTAGCAGACAACTGCCTTACCCACTGTGCCACCCGAGCTCCTTGAGAGCACAGAAGTTTGAGTTAAATCTGTATGTGTCATTACTCTCCTCTAATGAGGTAAAATCAAGAAATAACAAAACAAAACTCTATGAGTTGACATTCTAGATCAAGAGAGGCAGAGTACACTGTGTAGGGTTTAAGTCCTTCTATCATCCTAGACTATTATATTGCCATGCCAGAGACTCCTCTAAGCATGGGAAAACAACAGGATTTGAAGTTACTAATGAGATCAAATAAAGACATTTTTCTCCTTAATTCAGTTAAAGAAATTAAACCTACAGATAAATTCTATCTAGAGAAGACACATATTGAGTAAGATAAATAAGTAAACAGAGAAATGAAGGAGTGCTTACAGTATGTTGTTCTGGTGCTGTTGAGTCCATTTTGATTCATAGTGTCCCCATGTAGCAGAGTAAAACTGTCCCACAGGGTTTTCTACACTGTAATCTGTGCAGAAGCAGATCACCAAGTCTTTTACTCACAGAACTGTGAGTGTGTTTGAACTATCAACATTTTGGTTAGTAGCCAGGTGCTTACCCATCATGCCACTAGGGCTCCTAGTGTATAGTATAAATATTTGCATATTTAGAGAGTAAATAGTCTCAAAGATAAAAGAAAGGGGTCGCTATGAGTCAGGCCGACTGGATGGCAAGTAATAACAACAACAACAACAAAACAAAAAAAATTCAACTACTAATAGGAAAAGCGTTAAGAATAATTTAAAGATGTTTAAGCACACAAGTACAAAATTGTCCACTGCTAGTTCACTGGAGCTGAGAGAGATCTAAAAACATAGACTCACTTGCAATAATTTTTTTTTTAATGTACACGTTAACTATGGGCTCAGAGGGCTTTAGTCTTGGAGACACTTTTAATGCTATACTTCAATTAAGTCTTTTGTATCCTTTATTTAACCCACAAGCATTATGTACCCTGTATGCAGAACATTCTGTTAGGTACTTTGGAGGATCTTAAGAAAGAATTCGAGGAGTCTTGAATATTGAGAATAATGCACAGAAAGATAAAAGACTATAAAATAAGTGCTATAAATATAAAATAAGTACAAATAAAGAAAGTAGCTATAAGTACCCAAATATATGAAAGCAATTATTAGATAGAAAAAGTTCAAAAGAATTGAAAATACTGCACTTCTTTGTATCTAGGCCACTAATGTTGTAAGATTCATCATTAATTTATGCACTACTAAGAAAGAAAAAGCTGATAATTGCAGTTGTAAGATGTTATTGAATGAAAGATGCTTTCTGATTTCAGAGATGTTAAAATATACTTCTAAAAAACATGTACCTCTTAGAAATATGAGAAAGATAAAATGTTTAAGATAAATAATCAAAGTTTCCATCTTAAGAAGAAGATAGAAAAAGAGTAAATGAAACCCATGGTTTAAAAAGTGAAATCCACCAATGTGATTCTCCACATTAATAGAAAAAAAAAAAAAAGAGAGAGAGAAAGAAAAATATCGCCAATTCAATAAATGCAGGAAAAAAAATTGATAAAATTCAATATCCATTCACAATAAAAACACTGAACAAATTACCAGTAAAAATGAAGTTCTTTGATGTAATAAAGGGAGCTACTCTACATTCATGAGTAAGTTTCAGAGTTTCTTCTTACATTCATTGTGGTCTTCTCTGTCTTTCCTGACTTTTAAACAACATTTTGATTTCTTCATGTTTGATATCCTTAGTATCATCCCACAACTTGTCTGTAGAATGGTTAAAGCAAACAGAGGAAATGATGATGTTGCAGAGCTGAACATAAGATTTAAAAGGATAGTTTAAACAGACAAAGTAAAGTATTATCATGAAATACGCAAAGATCTGGAGTCAGGAAACCAAGAGGGAAGAACACACTGGCATTTTTCAAGCTGAAGGAACTGAAAAATAAATAAAAACTCAAGAATCAGGTTGCAATACTGACGGATTCTATGGACAAAATACTGAATCACACAGGAAGCATCAAAGTGAGATGGAAAAAATATAGAGTCACTGTACAAAAAAGAATTGGTTGATATTCAGCCATTTCAGGATGTAGCATATGAATAAGAACCAATGGTGTTGAAGGAAGAAGTCCAAGCTGCACAGAAAGCACTGGTGAAGGACAAGGTATTGACAGAATACCAAACTGAGATGTTTCAACTAATGTATGCCACTCTGGAAGTACTCACTCATCTATGCCTACAAATTCGGAAGAAAGCTACCTGGGCAATAGATATTCCAAAGAAAGGTGATCCAAGAGAATGCAGAAATTATTGAATAATATAATTAGTATCACACACAAATAAAATTTGCTGAAGATAATTCAAAAACGGTTGGAACAGGACATTGACAGAGGACCTGCCAGAAACTCAAGTTGGACTCAGAAGAGGAATCGGATCAAGGTGATGTCAGATGGATCTTGGCTGAATGCAGAGGATACCAGAAAGATGTTTTCCTGTGTTTTATTGACTGTGCAAGGGCATTTGCAGTGTGGAATTATGAATAATATCATTACACAAGTTATGGATAGTATTGTGAAGAATGGGAATTCCAAAACAGTTAAGTGTGCTCATGTGGAACTTGTATATAGACAGAGGCAGTCATCCAAAAACAAGGGGACACTGCATGGTTTAAAATCAAGAAAGGAATGTGTCAGGGTTGTGTCCTTTCACCATATTTATTCAATCTGTATGCTAAGCAAATTATCTGAGAAGTCAGAGTACATGAAGAAGAATGTAGCATCATGATTGGAGGAAGACTCCTTAACAACCTGTAATATGCAGATGACACAGTCTTGTTTGGTGAAAGTGAAGAAGATTTAAAGGACTTAATGATAATGATCAAAGACTACAGCCTTCAGTATGTATTATACTTGAGTATACAGAAACTAAAAACCCTTACAAGTGAACCAATAAGCAACATCATGATAAAGGGAGAAAAGACTGAAGTAGTCAAGGATTTCATTTTCTGTGGCTCCACAATCAACACTCATGAAAGCAGCAGTCAAATGACATACTGTACCTGGCAGATCTACTGCAAAAGTTCTCTTTAAAGTGTTAAAAATTAAAGATGTCACTGCTAGGACTAACATGTGCCTGACCCAAGCCATGGTATTTTCAAATGCCTCATATGCATGAGGAATCTGAACAATACATAAGGAAGACTGAAGAAAAATTGATGCCTTTGAATTATGGTATTGGCAAGAATATTGAATATACCACGGATTGCAAGAAGGTTGCATTTTTTTCATTGTATATTCAAAGAACTCTTCTTGGAAGAAGTATAGCCAGTATACTCCTTAGAAGTGAGGATGGGGAGACTTTGTCTCATGTACTTCAGACATGTTATCAGGAGGGACCAGTGCCTGCAGAAGGATATCATGCTTGGTAAAGTAGAGAGTCAATGAAAAAGAGGAAGGCCCTTAATGAGCTGGACTGCACAGTGTTCGTAACAATGGGCTCAAACATAGCAATGACTGGGAGCATAGCTCATGATTGGGCAAGTGTTTCCTTTTGTTGTACATAAGGTGGCTATAGTTGGAACTGACTTGACAGTACCTAACAACAATAAATAGAACCTCTGAAAAAAGGTACCTCAGAT